TTTTTTTTTTTTTTTTTTTTTTTTTTTTTTTTTTTTTTTTTTTTTTTTGGGGTTTTATGGTTCTAAGGCAAATAAAACAGACCTATTTGATAATATGTGATGATGATGTTTCTTGCTGCTGCTGCTGCTGCTGCTGCTGCTGCTGTTGCTGCTGCTGCTGCTGCTCATGATGATGCTGCTGCTGCTTTTTCTTTTGCTGCTGCTGCTGCCCGTGATGATGCTGTTGCTGCTTTTTTTACTGCTGCTGCTGTTGCTGTTGCTCATGGTTTTGCTTGTGCTGCTCTCCTCTTGCTGCTGCTGCTGCTGCTGCTGCTGCTGCTGCTGCTGTGTATACAGATCCCTCGGTGCAGCCAATAGACCCGCATGCACTTGCTGCAGCAGATGGGGCTTCTACCTTCACTATACCAAACGCCCACAACAGGCTGGCGCAGCAGCGGGCGCAGCAGCAGCAAGCTAAGACTGCTGCTGCTGCTGCTGCTCCTGCTGCTGCTGCTGCTGCTGCGGCAGCTGCGGCAGCGGCTCCTGCTGCTGCTGCTGCAGGACCTGCTGCTGGTAGAGCAGCAGCAGACACCCATGAAAAAGATTCGAGCGGTGCTGCTGCAGCAGAAACAACGAAGCTTGCTGCTGCTGTTGCAGCAACAGCAGCAACAGCAGCAACACATGGAGCTCTTGCTGCAACCGCTGCTGGCAGCACACTCACCCATGCAGCAGCAGCAGCAACAGCAGCAACTGCTGCTGCTGCTGCTGCAGCAGATGCTGCAAAGGCTGCGGGACCAGCAGCACAAGCAGCAGCAGCAGAGGAGAGCAGCAAAACCAAACAACCCCAGTCAACGCAGCAGCAAGCAGCAGCAGCAGCAGCAGCAAGTGCAACAGGAGAGCAGCACGAAGCAACTCCTGTTGAAAGGCATCCTCCAGCTGCTGCTGCTCCTGCTGCTGGCGTTGCTGCAGAGACTGCAGCAACAGCAAAGGAGACAGCAAAAGCAGCAGCAGCAGCAGCACACTCAGCTGCAGCTGTGGCTCAGGCTGCTGCTGCTGCTGCTGCACTGCATGCAGCAGCAACAGACGAAGCTTTTGCTGCAGTGCAGCGGGGGCCTAGCGGCGACAGTGTAGGACGAAGGCCTCAGCAGCCCGAGCAGCAGCAGCAGCAGCAGCAGCAACAGCAGCAGCAGCAGCAGCAGCAGCAGGTTCTAGGCGGTCGAGGCGCAGCAGCAGCTTCTCTAACAACCCCAGCAGCAGCTGGGGCTTCTACACCTATGGGTACTGCAGCAGCAGCTGCAGCAGCAGCAGCATCTGCTGCTGCAGCTGCCGCTGCTGCTGCTGCTGCTGCAACAACGGCAGCACTACCAACAGCAACAGCAGCAGCACTAGCACCTGCAGCAGCAACAACAGCAGCAACAGCAGCACCAACAACCACGCAACCTGCTGCTCCTGCTGCTGCTGCTGCTGCTGCTGCGCCAGACCCTCAAACCACCAAGAAGGCAGACACCTGAAGTGCTGCAACAGCTACTACTGCAGCAGCAGCAGCAGCAGCAGATCCTGCTGCTGCTGCTGCTGCTGCTGTTGCCACTGAGAAGGGATGAAACGATTAGCTCTGCGCGGTGACAGGCGCGAGGGTTTAGGGTTTTCATTTGCAAATTGGGGTTTACAAGCGGTTTAGGGTTTAGGGTTTAGGGTTTAGGGTTTACAGTCACAAGCCGAGGGTTTAGGGTTTAGGGGTCTAGTGGTTAGAGTCTACAGTCTATATTCAAGGGTTTAGGGTTTACGGTATAGCACAGTCAAGGGTTTAGGGTTTAGGGTTTACGGTATCGGAGAGTCAAGGGTTTAGGGTTTGGGGTCTACTAGAGAAAAAGGGTTTAGGGTTTAGGGTTTAGTATCTGAATCCAAGGGTTTAGGGTTTAGGGTTTAGGGTTTAGGGTTTTCAAGCTGGAGTAAAAGGTTTACAATTAAAGAGTTTAGGGTTTACAGTCATAAACCCTAAACCCTAAACCCTAATAAAGGGTTTAGGGTTTATGAGTTGTTATATTAAAATTACTGCATACAGCAGCAAAAACTTAGGGTTTAGGGTTTAGGGTTTAGGGTTTAGGGTTTCACCGCCGCCAATCCTCCTCCTCCTCCTCCTCTTCCTCCTCCTCCTCCTCAGCAGCAGCAGGAGCAGCAGCAGCAGCAGCAGCAGCAGCAGCAGCAGTTGGTGTGTCTTTGATTCTAAATATAATTCTTCCTGCTGCTGGTGATAGAGGGTTTGTTTGTATAATAACAAAATCATGGAGCTGTACATACACCCTATTTATACGCAGTTTTCCACTTAGCGTGCATAAAATTATTTTATTTAATAAACCTTCGGGTGTATATACACTGTCTTCATATAATATAGGGGATAAACTACCTGCTGCTGCTGCTGCTGCTGCTGCTGCTGCTGCTTCTCCTCCTCCTGCTGATGAATCCAACTGCACATTAAAACGACCCCCAGGTAAACAACACACAACCCGCCCAGCTAAACTCAGACAATCCTTCTCCTTTCTC